GAACCGGACCCGGCCCGGCCCGCAGGGTCGGTGTCGAAAAAAAGACGACCCTGAACCGGCCCGGTTGAAAATCCGAGCCGGGCCGGGTCCGTGCCGGGTCGGCGGGCCGGTTGACCCGTGGCCATGTCTAAATGGCAGTTGAACGTTCAAAGCGATGCAGTCATCCATTAAATGCTTGGGCCCCTTAATTCTTTCATTGTTTTGAACGGCATCTTTTGGTGCCTTTTTTATTTTTTTTTATTTTATTTTATTTGTTTCATTTAATATTTAATTTTCTTTTGGTCCCATTGATCCGTTAATATGTTTCAACGGCTCTTTTGAGTCCTTTTTATTTTTTTTTTATTTTTATTTTCCGCAGCTCAGTTTTTATTTTTTTTATCCTCATTTTTTTGCCTATAAATACACTTCATTTTTGTAACTGTACTGTTTTTTCTTGTATAATATTAATTTAAGGTATTTTGGTTTTGTAGTATTCTTTTATTTTCCTGCCTTTAAAATTTATTATTATAATTTAAAAATGTTAAATTTTATTTTTATTGAGAATAGAATTTTAAAATTTATATTGAATGAATGGATATAATGGGTCCCATATTTGTATTTAAATGAATGTGTAGAGATGTGGGTGTGTGTTTAAATGAAGAGAGAATTAGTGAAAAGATGATGTGGATGAGAGAGAGTGTAACTTTTTGATTGAATGAATGGAAAAAACATTAAACGAATGCAGATGCCCTAATTGAAAGATATATTATTCACCATTTTTTTTTTTGGGTAAAGTCCACTTTTGGTCCTCCGTGTTTAGGGGGTATCCAGACTGAGTCCCTATTATGTTTTGGTGTCCAATTTTAGTCCTTAAAACAAAAAAATGAGTCCCTATTATGTTTTGGTGCCCAATTTTAGTCCTTAAAACAAAAAAATGAGTCCCTATTATGTTTTGGTGCCCAATTTTAGTCCTTAAAACAAAAAATGAGTCCCTATTATGTTTTGGTGCCCAATTTTAGTCCATAAAATAAAAAAATGTAGTCCCTTTACCTCAATTACTGTGAATTAACGGTCTATTTTTGCTCGACTGTGATGTTCTTTATTTTGTTAAAATTTGTTGATTAATGTCAACTTTGACCAAAGAAAAATAAAAGAAAATTTAAATGCTGAAAATATATTAATAAAAAATTAAACTAAAACAAGAAATTGCACTAAATTAAATTAAAATTTTTGCTCGTCTGATTTCATTTCCCTAGCATTCGCGCTGCGGAGCAAGCCTGAAATCACAGCTAATGCTCTTGCACCCATTTTCGGGTCATGCCATCGAAAAAAATTGCACCTATCAACCCTCTGTTTTTTAACCATTTCTTATCATATTCCAATTGAAGTTCACGGAAAGTACTTACAGGATATAGAGGGCAACTCAAGAATCTTCTCCCGAGATTATCATCCTTCCAGCATGTAGTCAACTTTGCAACCAGCTCACATCTACAAAATACCATACCATTTCCATCCATTTGATCGGATTTTGTCCCTAGGCGGTTAGGGTTTTTTTGATTGGATTTAGTCCCTAGGCGGTTAGATTTTTTTTTTTACGTTTCACTGCAGTTCACTATTTCTGTCTTTTATTTTACTTTTTCAGCATTTAAATTTTCTTTTATTTTTCGTTGGTCAAAGTTGACATTAGTCAACAAATTTTAAAAAAATAAAGAACATAACGGTCGAGCAAAAATGGACCGTTAATTCAAATAAATTGAGGTAAAGGGACTACATTTTTTTTTAAGGACTAAAATTGGGCATCAAAACATAATAGGGATTAAGTCTGGATACCCCTAAACATGGAGGACTAAAAGTGGATTTTTCCCAATTATAGGGACTACATTTTTTTGTTTTAAGGACTAAAATTGGGCACCAAAACATTATAGGGACTCAGTCTGGATACCCCATAAACATGGAGGACCAAAAGTGGACCTTCCCCTTTTTTTTTTCCATCACTTCAGAATTATAAATGAAGCTTTTTCCTACAGTTGCAGGTAGAGTTGTCAATTTGGCCCGCGGCCCGCGGGCCGGCTCGCCCCGCAAAAGGGCGGGTTGGGCTGAGATTTTCTAGGCCCGCCAGGGAGCGGGCCTACGCGGGCTGAGGCGGGGCGGGCTAACCCGCGGGCCGGCCCGCCTAATTAAAAACAAAAAAAAACAAAAAATATAAAAGATGCAACTTCAATTCAGCGGCACTCCAGATCGATGAGTGTTCTTTTTTTCTTTATCGATTCAGCGCTTAACCAACATCTCCTCCACCAATTCTCTTAATCCCGTCCGCTCACATTCAAAAATCAGAAACTGAGAAACCCTGAAAATTGAAGCTCACTACCACCGGTCCACCCCGTCCGCCGACCACCGTCTCGTAACTCCGCCTTCGAGTCTTCGACCTCTGCCTCCACTTCCATCCACGTATTCGGTCACTGATTTTCTCTTCGAACCTCGAAGTCGGGCTGAAGATTTTTCGGTTGAAGCTCGACGGCGCGGGAATTGAAATATCTACTGTTAGGTATTTTCAATTAGCCCGTATTTCTGATGAAGCTCGACGGCACCGTGTTGAGGAAAAAGTTGAATATTTGGGAATTTTGAAGAAGAAGGAAAAATAGTTTCTGAAGGAGAAAAGAATTTCTAGAAGAAAACGGAGCCTGCTGTAAGGATTTTCTTATCACTTATGTATACATTAATGAGAAAATTAGTGTGGGACCTGTGGGTATGACCGTATGAGTGATGAGTCTATTGGGTTTCCCTTTTTTGTCTCAAATGTTAATGGGCTTAATGAGTCTATCTCCTCTCATTGTCTTGCTATAGCCCAACGTTTTTTCTTTTTTTCTTTATTTTTTTTTTCCTAACTGGCGGGCTGGCCCGCCAAACCCGTGGCCCGAGACGGGGCGGGTTGGGCCATCGTTTCTCAGGCCCGCCCCGCCCGCCATTTGACGGGCTTTGGCGGGCTACAGGCTGGCCCATTTTGACTAGTTGCAGGTGTTGTCTTTCGAAATTCTTGGGGTCTAAACGAAACGCGAAGTCAAAATTATAAATGAAATATTTACTAATTATATACCTACTATTAAACAAAATATAATGTAAAAATATATATATTTTGGACTATTATGTTGTACCTAAAATGCGCACATTTGGATTAACTAGTTAAACAACGTTAATGTGGACGACAAATTTACATCGGCAATACTCCGAAGTCCTAATGTGTGATGCTAACAAACTCCTAAATAAATAATGTATTGAGTGGTGCTAGCTTCGGCACAAGATATCAATTGATTTGATTGTCAGTAATCGAACCAACTGATGGATATTATATCTTAAACATGGGGATGTAAATTCGAGTAATTTAGAATTTTACCACTAATTGTAATTTGGGAATTAAATTGGGAGTTGCAATAATATTACTTTAGTGAAATGACTGTATTATTCGTATATGAGCGGAGTGGGCTCGACCCACTGTTAAGCTCATATACAGGAAGTCCAATTTAAGGTCTCATTAGAGTTCCTATTGAAACCTATAAATACACAATCTCTCTTGTGTTTGGAAAACATTCATACACGTTAAACTTAAGAGAGATCTAGAGTCTTCTTCCCACCAAAGGAGTTCTAGAGGTGTTAGGATATTCAATAGAAGTCCCCCAATGTAGTCGAGTGTAGCGCCCGCTTACTTATCTTTAGAAAATATTAATATTTTCATAAATAATTTGAACTTTTTCAAATAAAACATTTCTCGGGCACTAAACAAAAACTCTTTTTTTTTTTTCAAAAATTTCTAAAACACTCTTCTTTCTTTTCTTTCTTAAACTTTCTAGGGATCGTCTACGGTCAGGTACCCCTTGTACCTACTTAACATCAGGTACCCCCCTATTTCACCGTTAGATTGATTAAAAAATTAAAATCAACGATGGATTCAAGGGTACAAGGCAAAAAAGAATTTTGGTAGCCTTGTACTTTGTCTCGTACCCCTCGTACTGGTTAAAAACCTATTATACCCTTCGTACTCCTTGTACCTATTTTATTTATTCTCAAGCCCCTTGTACCTATTTTATTTTTTCTCAAGCCCCCACATAGTTATCTAATTTATATAACAATCCTACAAATTCAAAAACAATTCATCACAACCTAAAAATATATTTTACGATTCCAATTCTTCTTCTTCATTTGGAAAAAAAAAAAAAAAAAAAAAATTGTTCTTCTTCATCTTCTTCCTCATTGTTCTTCTATGTACAAATCCGACCACCTCCTTCATCCTCTCCTCATGATTCAATATCATAACAATATTATGACCCCAATATATATTCGGACGATTTACGATCAATATGTATCTTGTCGATAGAATTTCTATATAGAGATTTCAATCGCACGCACGATTCATTGAGGTACTTTATTTCGAATGTGAAGTATGATTGTAAATTCTTGGCATGCTTCTAATATTTTTTGTGAATTTTGTTATGTAATTCCTGGATACAAAACCCTTGCAATCGTGTTATTAACATAGATTGTTTTGATGAAAATTTTCGCTTTGGCTGTGCATCCTTCTATTGTAATTGATTGTTACGGATAATGATTTGATGTGAGGAGGTGGATTGGTTAACTAGCAGTTGATTGTTGATAAGTTGGTTTTGTTGTATTCGTAAAAGTACATTACGTGTTTGATGTAATGCCTCACTCGGGATAACAAAAACAAGAAGCTAGTGAAGAAGCTTGCTAAAATGTACCATGCTTTCTTAGCCTCTGAAGTTGTTATCAAACGGATTATCCGTCTCTTGGGATATGATCTTAAAAATTCTGGCAAGTTCCCCACTCTCATAACTCACAATCACTTGAGTCAAAGGTGAACGAAACAAAGGCCATGGTGAAGTTTCAGCTGAAAAATGTGGTTTGACTAGAATCAGATCTTCCAAAACGTGCAGATGAGTATCAAATTCCTAGTTTCTGTACTGAAAAAGAATTGGCAGATTGTGAGGTGTTTCCACTTAAAGAGCACAATGGGAAAGCCACAACGTATCTATTATGGGTGTATGAGTGCGTGCACGATTGTACATTTCTCGTGGGGCAAGGGAATATTTTGATTTTCAAATGTTGTGATAGTTTGTGCTCAGGTTGACCAAGTTTACCTAAATTATTTTGCTTATGTTCAGCTGGTTTGCTTTTATAACTTTGCTTATAACTTTTCATGGTTTGGTATTTACTGATACATTTTGTTGAAGGAAATATCTATGAAGCACTTTGATTTGAAAAAGAAAAACAAACATCTGTTATTTATGTTTCTAGCAATGACATCCTAATTGTTATTTGATCTCGTTACATGGAATGAATATGCCACCATAGTTGTTTCAAGGATTGGATATGCCATCATTTTTCCGTGATTGAATCAACAAATTAAGAGAAGAATTACATGGTCCATCATTGTTATGTGGAAGGTTACATGGGCTCTACCTATCCAGAGCAAATTGAAAAACTTCATTTGGAGATTTTGGCATGAGTTTGTGGGGACTAGGGTTCAACTAAAAAAAGAGAAGAATTGAATGTGGTGTAGTATGTGAGGTCTGTGGGAAGTGTGAGGAAAATATTGATCATATCTTAATTTAGTGTGCGCCGTGCTGAGGTCACTGGTGTCACGTGTACAACCAAACAGGATGATCAAGCTGCGCTGGTGTCGACGATGCCGCACGCAGGCGTGAAACAGTTGCGCCGAGCCTATTGGCAGCCTTCGGGTCACTGGCGGGTCACGCGCGCATAACTGCATGTCGCGCAGCGTGTCCCGATGCAGCGTTGCCGATTGCCATGAGTTTCGCCACAGATGACCCGTCGCCCCACGCGCAAGCAGCGTGATGAAGGATCGTGTGTTCCGTCCAACTCGAATGCTTCCAACCCCGTGCCGACGCCTTGGTTTCTAAGCGATAGGTTGCCAATACGAGCGCCGACGACTTCGTACTTCGCGATACGTATGACGAAACTCGGATATTGGTCATATTCCAATCACGAACTCTATGTAAACTCACTCTATGTAAACTCACGAGAGAAAACACACGAGAACTTTGAACAAACGTTCGATTTTTTATTCACTCATCAACATCATATTCGAAAATATTAGATTACATGGGTATTTATAGATGCTAAAATAAATCTAATCCTAGTCTAAGAAGAACTCCTAATGCAAGTAAGTAAATAAATCCTAAGGCAACTAAATATCTTTCTTATCAAGACTTTCCATGCAAATAAAATACTACTAGGCACATGCCTTTTATTCAAATCCTAACCATACTAGAATTCCTAAGAAAGCTAAGTAAATCTTAACCCAATTTCCATTGCTTGCTCGCCAAGTCGATCGCGCCAAAACCCTAGCCGCCTCACATGTCGCGCCGCCTTTCAAGGCCTAGTCCTTGTCGCGCGCGAGAATGCGCGCGCGCCCTCCCCACGCGTCATCCGCTGAGCACGCTGCTCGACCGCGTGCCGCGTCTTGCGTGTCCCCACCACTTGCGCGGGTGTCGCACACGCTCGACCCCTCAGCATCATCCTCTCACTCGCTCGACGTCTGGCGCGTCGAGCCCCGCCCATCCGCACGTCTCATCGCGTCCGTCCCTGCTCGTGCGCCCGCCTTATCGCAGCCGCCCCACGTGCACCCTGTCCACCCTACATCCACCCCTCGTGCACCTTCTGTCTTAGCCTTCATACGCCGTACGCGTCGTTCCCTCGCGCACGCCTTGCACCATTCGCCCACCTTCCCGGGCTTTATCTTCTCGCACTCGTCGTCAGCCCATTTCTCACATTCGCGTGCACTTATCATCACGTAGGCTTTCCTCGCACGGCCTAGACTCGCACGCCTCGTGGCTCGGTTGCCGTGTATTGCCCGTGCTCGCGCCCTAGTGCGTGTGCGCGCTCCTTTTCCACTCCTTCGGGCCCTTTCTCGCCTATTCTCGTGCCATATCTCCAAGCCATCATGGGTCTCGTCCTCGGGCTCGCAAGGGTCGATGACCACATCTTCATCACAGTGTCCCATCGCTGCCCAGCGTGCGTGAAGCTCCCAGTGCCAGCGTACAGCCCTCGACCCAGCGACCGTAGCACGTCCCCGAGCAAGCAAGTGAGCACATCCCAGCGCCTCAACTCCAGCAGTGCCAGCGAGTGCGCAACTTCTCGTGTGATGGTGCCCGCAGAACCATAACCAGACGTGCAGCCTGTGACCAGGCGCACATAGAGACGTGTCTGCAGCACAGACAGCACTGAGGCATGTCGGCAGCAGCGCATAGGCGTTGCACCACCTACAGCCCACGACCCATGCTAGCGCGTCAGACCCGAGCCAGTGCCAAGCTCGTGCAGACCAGCGAATCCAAACCCGTGCCACTGAGCCATTTTTGAGCCGTTGGACCATTTTTTTCATACCGAACCTTATTTTTAGCTTGGAAAATTGTTTTCTAAGTCTTTTTCTATTAACCGAGAGTTCCAAGTTCCACTAATTTATTTATAAAGTCCTTAATCAAATAAAGTTGATTAAGTTAAAATTTGTTAAATTCCTAGAGAAATGGGGCAAGTTATTTATAAGAATATTCTTGCTTTAAATGTAGATTTTCGAGAAATCGAGCCTCGAGTGTCTGTGTGAAGTATCTACTTTATCTGCATTATCTGATCTGAGGTGGGTGTTGCTAAACTACTATGCATTTATTCTTTATAATCACATAATTTCATAGTTGATGTATGTGTATGACTTTATGCATGCGTGCTGAAATTGCATGTGAGGTGGGCATTTGACTGTGTGGCGCATTTGATTGTGTGGCATTCAGTTTGAGATCTTATCGTTGAGCGCCTAATGAAAGGCAAACCGGCGGTAAAAGTGTGTACACATGAGATGATTGATAGATGGAGACTTTGAGATGGATGAGACTTATGTTGTTCATATTCATGCTAAAATATGTTATCTGTTATTATACTGGGTAATTGCATAGTTTCTCCACGTTGAGCTTGTTGTTTGCACACTCTCATACATTATCATTTTTCAGGTTAAGTAGCTGGACGCGGATACGAGGAGACGAGAGTGGTCAAAGTATTTGTTAATTATTTTTATTGCTTCCGTGAACCTTTTTGGACTTAGTGTCATTTTCACTTATATCGATGGTGTGTTAAGACTATATTTGTGTGTTGAGACTTTGACTGTGTGTTTTGAAATTTATGAATTTGAGTTTATTTATGGGTTGAGTTGTAGAAAAGAAAGAATTTTTCAGTAATGTCCGAAAGGATTTTATTTGAAAAATGTTTCAAAAGCTTCAAATTATTTTTGAAAACTAAGTGTTTTCTAAAGGAAAAATAAGCGGGCGTTACAAAAGGAGTTCGAGCGCCTAGCAAGTCGCATATGCGATTGGCCGAAAAGTGCGCTTGTTGGAGCATTCGTCAGGGGTCTAAAATTTGATCTCACTGCTGAGGTACGTTTGGAGAGGCCTAAGAAGATGCAAGATGCCATGGATTTCTCTCGTAGGCGAGACGACTACCTGGTCGCAATTCGGAAGGTCGGGCAAGACAAATGGCGCATCACCGCACCGCATGCGGAGCCGCGTGATGAGGCGCGACTCGAGGGGCTGAGCTCTCATCAAGGACGGGAAGGAGTACCGAACAGCAAACGGGGGGACCGTACACCTTGGGGTTCCCCCATATTTGAGTAGGAAAGACAACGACGAATAAAGAATGGTTTATGCTTCCACTGCGAGGAAAAGTTTGCGCCGGGTCTACAAGTAACAGTTGTACGCTATTGAAGGCGACGAGGAAGAGCCCGAGGAGGATGAATCGAGGCTCTATGTGAATGAGGACTTGGAGATTTTGGTCAATCCTACAAAATCGACAAGAATTTATAAAAATTGACCTTAAATTTATACTTAATAAAATCCTAAAAAGTCTTTTAGAATCATAAACGAATACACCGTCATAAAGAAGAAGATCTAACTGGAAGTCACTCCCCAAGTCATAACTAAAGTATATGAAAAAAATGGGGAAGTAAAACAAAACAGTGCACTAGGAAATCGTATCTGAAACCACACAAGTACTTGTGGGAGTCAGATTAATCCTCAGATCGTCATAGTTTTTTAACAAAAATACATAACTTACTTGTGTTATTGAATGTCATATTATGTTTATGATGTTTTTTTAGAAAATGACATTTAAATATGAAAGAATACACATCTATGGAAAGAAAGAAAAAACTAAAGCTGAAACTAAAATACCAAGAGAACAAAAAGATTGTTTCAAATCATCCAGACAGCCTTCAAAAACGCTTTGAAATTAACAAAAAACAAGATCATTTTAGTTAACACAGTTATCAATCAGTTAAAGACTTGCAAAATACTCAGTAAATTAATCCATCTATTCATAAAACCAGAAACAAATCAAAGAATCCAACATCACTAAATCCAAATATATATCCCCTCCACATGACCACACAACAACAACATGGCCATCATCAAAGAACTGCTAAAAACCTCTCAATCATCAACACTAAAACCCTACTCAACAAAAAACATTATTCTCTCTATCAACAAACAAACACCAGAAAAAAAAGACCTATAAACAACACCACCACCACCACCACAAACAATCACAGCCCAAAATCCTTCCCCCCAAGAAAATCATGATGCAAGAGCTTGTGCGCAATCTCGTCCCTCGCCCGCGCGGCCTCGACCGACCTCACCCCATTCTCGGGCGCCACCTCATCGTCAAAAACCTCGAACCTCGACTCCGAACCCAAAACCTCTCCCCTCATCTCGCACACATTGTGCAAAACACAGCACGCGCCCAAAACCACCGGCAAATCTTGCAGCTTCATCTCGGTCCTCTTCTGCAGGCAGCTCCATCTCCCTTTCAGCCTCGCGAAAGCCTCTCGGGCCACAGCCCGAACCTCGCCCACCTTCTCGTTGAATGCATGTTGGGCCCACGTGAGGTTTGGGTGGGAGTATGGGACGAGGACCCAGTCAGTCAGCGGGTGGCCCGGCCCGCCCACGACCCACGACCCGTTTAAGGCTCCCCTGCCCGCGCGCTGGGACAGGGCAGATTTGTCGAGGACCTGCTCGTCGGTCATCGAGCCCGGCCACCCGATGCAGATGTCGGTGAACTCGCCCGTGGGGCCCACGACCCCTTGGACGGTGATGGTGTAGCTCGTTTTCTGGTTGCGGTCCGTGTGGCGCTTGTTGAAGTATGCGGCCACGTTGGTCTTGGGGGCGATGATCGGGATGTGGGTGGTGTACATGGACCCGCACACGCGGGGGATCCCGCCGGAGAGGCGCTCGAAGGCGCGGTGGATGTGGGGGGAGGTGGAGTCGTCCGGCCACCGGAGGAATTTGGGCATGAGGACGGCGCGGATGGCGGAGCAGACCTCGAGGACGAGCTTGTGGCAAGTGGAGATGCCGAGGCCGAAGCGCTTGGAGACCTCGCGGAGGGCCTCGCCGGTGGCCAGACGCCAGATGCAGACGGCGACGCGCTGCCGGACGGGGATGGCCTGCCGGAGCATGGTGTCTTTCTTGGTGACCATGGGCTCGAGCTCGTCGCAGATCAGGTCGAATGTGGCCCGGCTCATCCTGAAATCCCGTCGGAAATGGTCCTCCGGGTAATCGGGGCTGTTCACCTGCTCCCACCACGCCTTCGACCGGCTCTTCACCCAGAGCCGCCGCTGGGAGCCGGCGCCGCCGCCGCGGTCGTCGGAAGAAGAATCGGACTCGGAGCGGGCGCGCTTGGAGCGGCTGGAGGTCTGGTCGGCGGGCGCCGGAAAAGCGTGCGGGTTTGGTTTGACCTCCTGCGGCGAATCGAAGGGGATGAATTTGGTGAGGAACTCGTCGACGGAGAAATTGTCGTCGAAATCGGGGCACCTGGGGCGCTTTTCCGGGTCGGGTGAGGACATTATCGGGTACGGGTCCTGCGGGTGGGACAGGGAGAAGAGTGGGTAGTTGCAGTCCTCGAAAAATGGGGAAAATGAGATTTCCATAAACAAACGAAAATTGGGGGAAGAAAAAAGATTGAGAAGGTGCGAGAAAGTGTCTTCGATTGGGAAATTTTGGAGAGGGAATTGTGAAAAAGGTGAGATTTTGAGGGATGGGTTTTTGTGTAAAATGCGCGATTATATACAGAGGTATAGAGAGGGTTTTTGTATGTATGCGTTTATCAGAGAACGCGGTTGCAGGACGCGTTGGGGAGGAAGATTCCGACTCCCGAGGTGTGGGCGCGATGAGGTGTTTTTCTGCTTGGCTTTCGAGTGGTCCCTTTTATTGTTTATCTTAAGGGATTTTTTTTTTATTTTAATTTATTTATTTATTTATTTTTTATAAAATTGGAAAAATGTTTTAGTATTGTTTCGATGTTGAATGAAACGGAGATTTTCATGAGTTTAGACTTTGGATTGTTACTTAGGGGCGATTGTATATAAATTGTACAGTAAAAAAATCAATCAAAATTTAAATTTTAACTCAATTTTAACTCAATTCCCCTATTCCTAATATTATCAATATAATTAAATAATATTAACCAATCATTCTTACACAACACATCAACTTTAATTCACTATTCATCTACTCACATCACTTCCAATCATTTTCTCTTACTTTTACATCAAATCAACTTTAATTAGTTTATTTTAAATATTATTTTAATATATCCACTAACAACTAATCATACCATATTTTTTCAAACTTAACTATAGTTAAAAAATAACTAGTTTCTTACTAGTTGAATTCATATCCAATCACCCCTTAATATCCATCGGTTTTGGTTTGTCTTATTTTGATCTAAGGTTCGTGTAATTATAAATTGGGTCGTGCTTACTGGTAGGTTTGGGTTCAAAAACTCGTCAATTTTGGTTTTGATTTGACCTGATGTGTTCAGATGTTTTATTGAAAATAATCTTTTTTCTTTTTTTGCTTTCAAATCGACCTGACAGGTTTAGATTGAGTGAATCTTGGTCGTTGGCCTTGTAACAGCTATAATATCCCAAGAACGAAATTATAGCAGTCAGACCTGACACGACAACTCAAGACCAGATAGAAAAAATCAAATTTTTTGTTGCCAAACTTGATGGTCTGGTTTGTTCCTAACTGAACCCGAACCCGCTAGGTCAAAATGCTTTTGTTGCCTAGAACTGGAATCGACCAATGTAATATATGGATAGTTTCGATTTTGACTTTTAGTCTCCACTGTGCCCGTCATTGACTACATGCACTATAAGTGCTTGCTCTTCTTCGAGCACCGCCCTCTTCCTTGTCTCGAGCTCCGAAATGCATTGTTGGATCTGCTCCAGAACTCTACCTACTATCGGAGAATCGAAACCAGACGAATGCTCCCATTGTTGTAGCAAATTGTGTTTTATTACCGAGTACGGAATGAATCCCGACCTCGGGTCGATCTCACGAGGAAGGCGGTTCGGAATCTAGGATTGGTATCGATTACACACAAAACGGAAATAAGTCCTAAACATTCTAATCACGATTGATGTGGTGAATTAACTTAAACTAACTAGAACTGAAAAGCAAATAAATTACGACTAGAGAAATAGAAGAAGTTCTAGGAGTCGAGAGATCTCAACAAGTCCTAAACTATGTTGAACGTTTATTTGATCGGTTACGTGATTCAGCAAGCTTACACATCTAGGGGTTAATATCCAATAACTTTTCGTAACAAGTGCACACACATAAACAACAAACTCATTCAATCAAATAACACATATACAGTACTTTTACGAACAAGTCTACCATGTGCACGCCATGGTCAAATAATCCATCCTCTTTCAGTTTTTAGACTATTTTTAGGTAAAGTAGACGGTGATCAATCGGGTAATTCTGTTACTCAATCAACGTGCACAAGTTGAACAATACACATTCAAAATATTTCGAGAGCTCTAGGTGAATGAATTATTCCATTCTTAAATCGAATTTCATGCTAATCGAATCAAAGAACATAAATCCAATCAACAATAATAATAGAGAAATAAAAACTTACAATCAGGTTAGGAATTGCAAGAGTTCAATACCAATCCAAAAAGCTCTAAGAATCCAAGCACAAGCAAAAGAAAGAATAAAGAAATTACAAGAGGTTTTTGGTGTTTTTGGGGGCCTTTTCAAGGTCTCCCAGGCTGATTTTTCATGTTCCAAATGATCTGAAATGATTTTTTTAGGCATGAACTTCAATGAATAGGGCTCGAAAATTGGTTGAAAATTTTGAATTTCAAAAAATGATCGCGACGACCCGCAGGTCGCCGACTGCTAGTGGCCGCTGGGTGTGGGTTTTGGGATGCCTGGGGTGCTGCTGTTTCCGCGTGGCGCGGGCCTGTCCGCGAGGCATGGGTACAGCTGGTTGCGGGTCGCGATCTGGCCGAGGGTTGCGGGTCTGGGGAGGCATGGGGCGTTGCAAGGCTCTGAAAATTCCGCGAGTCGCGAGGACACCGCGGGTCGCGAGCTGCCTGTGCGCGCGAGGGGTGCGCGTTGCGCGAACATGCTGCGGGTCGACAGCGCGAGGCCTGGGCGTACGCGAGTCGACAGCATGAGTCCTAGGATGTGCACGGGAGTGCACGGTCAACCGTGCGAGGCCTAGGCGTGTTGCAGACGTGTGCGAGGCCTGGGCGCGCACGAGGCGTATACGGAGCTGCTGCGCGTCAGTGCGCCACGGGCTCGTACGTGCTCATCCAGACTCGGAATTGAGTTTTATTTTTTCCTACTCATCGCTAACGAACCCTTCAAGATAAATCTACTTACACCACTTAGACGAACACTTTCTCCTAGGATTTGTTGAATTTCAAACAACTAGTTGAAGTTTCGAGCTTGCACGCCCCCAAAGAAAAGAAAGCACACGAAAGCCGAGAAGCATAAGAAAACACTGAAAAAACTAAAATAACATTAAACACGCTTCAATGGACCGAAAAAACTTAAGAAATGACCTAATACGGGGAAAAATATGAGAAGACCAATAATGAAAATAGCAACAAAAATAGGGCAAACACCCATAGCAGCACCAATATTTGCTTTTTTTGAAGCTTTTCGTTTTTTCGTGGTACAAACATTGGATTTCTTGTTGAATTGCGAAAAGTTAGTGGTATAGAATTGGATTCTTGTTGAATTGCGAAAAGTTGTCGGGCAATCTCATAACTATAGAGCTACTCTTCGCGTGATTGTCTATAAATTTATGCGTTTATAATCGATTCAATAATTTTTTTATAATTTTTTAACTCAAAATTTAACTCAAATTTAATCCAACTTCTATCGTATTATCAATATAACTAAATAATATCAATCGATCATTGTTACATGTTACATCAACTTTAATTCATTATTCATATACTCACATGATTTTATCTACATATATTTGTAGTATCATCTCTTCTATTTTTACATCACATCAAATTTAATCTTTACATTTGAAAACATCAAATTTAATCTTTACATTTGAAATATTATTCAAATACAAACTCAAAATCTTATTCCAACTTCCACTCAATCAACAT